CAAACACACACACACACACACACACACACACACACACACACACACACCTAAACAAACAAACACGTTCTGGTGAGTTTTGATTTCTGATGCATTGGTGCTTTGTGTTGTGTGGCATTTATAAGCTATCTAGTGTAAAACACTACATGGACATATACACAGTGTATTTACTGTATTATACACCATAAAAAAGGTTCTAGTTTCCAGACATGTCCTAAAAAGGCAATACCAATCTGACAACACTATCGTAGGCAATTATTTTGAAGACTATTTCAAAGTATCAATTTGGAAACAGCACATTAGCATTTCCTCTGACCACAGATCCCAGCACTGTGCAGCTATCTGTCTGTGAGAAGCTGCAGACAGATGTTGCCCTAGGAAATCAGCGTAATAGCACACAAATGGAGCAAAGTTGTGTCAAATTTCACACGTGTAGCTGGTGCTTACGGCTACACCGTCTCAGCCTCTGACCCTTCAGAAACCAGACCCTGGCAGTTGTGGTACAACTCTGCAGCAACAATGGCACTCAAACTAAACTGAAAACAGATTTAGCCTCGGCATATCCCGAGCGATAAAAATTGAAGTTTTTGAGGAAAACAGGTGAGTTGTTTAGGAGGTTCTAAATTTGATGCTGATGCAGAATTAATGATTCACAACTATGTGACTTAAAGAACACCATCAAAGCTCAAGACTTGGTCTGATGCTTCAAAATGGATCGAACAAGTAATGGTATCTAAAAATAGGCGGAGGGAAAAGCCCAGGAATTCAAAAAAGAAAAAAAAAACTTAATCCCCTTTTACAGCTCTGTGCACGACAAAGACGAAAATCACAACAAATAAAGAGAAGATGAAGGAATAAACAAACTGAGCACTGCTGAAACTAGCACTTGTTAAAAGAGCACAAGCTGGCAAATTAGTTTTGGGGTCAGACCCTGGTTCAGTCCTATTGTCTGCCTCAACACCAGTTCGTCATGCTTCTGTGGGAAAAATCAAATAAAACAATAGCAGCGTAACAAGGAAGATCAGTCAGTGTTTCACTTAATCCTCTTGATGACCATTGTAGGAGTCATGGATGGGTAGCCAAGAGGGTGTTTAGTAAAGGAAGTGACTCAGAAACTAACGGGGCACTGCTCATACAAGGTCCTGCTTACTCCAGAGGGACAAAAAAAGGTTCTGCCTTCAGCCATGCATCAGCTAAATTAGATTTTCTTTAGCTGAAATGTGTTATTTAGTGCAGCAGATGTGTTTTACTTCATCTTTGCTGTACAGGATTTTGTCCTGCAGTTTATTTTTGGCAGCTAAAGATGCTGTAAAACCTGTAGATGTGTAAAACTAAATATCTCAGAAATAAATCTCTATTCAGTTTGTTATTTAAGCCTGCTGTTTTTGGTGTCCTCAAACACACTTCTCTCTTAGTTTGTTATGCACCCTGTAACCCCCCCCCACACACACACACACACAAACGTTTGCACAACAATCCAAATGGGGACATCCCATTACATTTCTACAGTCTAACCCTGACCACAAACCCTAAGGCTAACCTCACAGGTACCTGACCCTAAAACTAACCTAAACTCAATTCACACCTTGGTCCTAAACCCAACCACCCCCCCCCCCCCCSCAAAAAAATATTGTCCCCACCAAGTAGCAAAAACAAGTACACGCACACACATACACACACAATCTACTGTTCCTCTGCCTTTACACACAGCCAGTGGACGAACAGCCCAGGTCTGTAATTGCTGCCTCTGTGCCGTGGACAGACAGGCAGACTGGGGATTGGAGATGACACGCACCCATTATTAGTGAACCAAGTGCTGTTTTTGTAATTACCAAGGGTTTGGCTGAGCGTGCTGAAACACACTCTGGGATTCACCATTCAGAAGCTGCTTCAGCTCCAACTGGCTGCACAGCTTCTGTTGGTCCAGCCTAAGCAGCAATGGGCCGGGCCTCCGAATGAAGCAGAAAATCTGTTCTGAAGGGGGTTAGAAAAACAAAAAGAATACTTTTTAAAATGTCAAAATCATGAGTATTTCTTTATCCCACAGGATAGCATTCATTGAACCAAGGCAAAAGAGAAAAAAGTTAAAACTGGGCTGTGGTCAGAGCTGGGTATCCTCATCAGCTGTCACACCTCAGTAAATCCATACATCTCTAGATAAGTTACAAGGTTTCACGTTTTTATATCAACAGTTTTTCAGGATGTTTGGAAAGCAGGTTATCATATTTTGGCAAAAAAAGTTTTCTGGTAAACTACAAGCAACCATTTCCTGAATGTGATGCACTTAGAAAATACCAACTTGTAGGCGTACCATAACTCCACAAATCATATTTTCTGAAACTCAAAACAGTGTTCACAAAAGAAAAACAGAAAAGTCATATAAGACAGAGGACAGCAAAGAACGCAGAGCTGTCAGCGCACAGTAAATGATCAGGACACAAACTGTCCATCTGCATACACGCCTGGAAAATAAGAGTTCTCAGGAAGTTCAGATACATATTAGTTCTGCCCAACATGTCAGTGAGAGGAGAAGCAGATAGGAGCCAGACATCCACTCAGGCATGAGGACAGTTTGAACCTAACTGAGCCGAGATGGCCTGTTCTGAGGCTGAGGCTGTGCTTGTTGTGCCGGCAGCCAGTGGCTGCTGCGTACCTGCGATCTCACTGACGATAATGCAACACGGCAGCCCTGAGGGCAGAGCCCATACAACTTTCTCAGCCCTCTCGGAGTAATTGGTGACCCCTGAACCTGGCTTTCATATAAAAGGGACGAAAGGGAGGGCGCAGGAGATGTGTGTGTGTGTGTGGGGGGGGGGGGGGGGGGGGGGGGGGGGGGGGGGGGGGGGGGGGGGGGGGGGGGGGGCATTGTCAACAGAGACATGGCAGAAGGAGAGATGCAGTTAAACTGACGAGAGAAGGACCAAAGTCGGAGGAAAAGGAAAAGTCAAGGCGACGTTAGCCGGGAGGAAAAAGGTTAATCTCTTTAACTGTGGAGAGTTCCAAAGTTCAGAGACAAAAAGTCGACGATCCAGTTCTTTTTGAACAGTGAAAAGTCCACAGCCTCTCCTTTTGATACTGGAGTTTATTTAGAAAATTTAACTGTTGCTGGAATTATATAAAACATATTCTCAATAGTTCAACAACAGATCTATCAGAAAATTATTCTGGATATTTTGTCATTAATAATTAAAACTCTCCGTATAATTGACAGTTATAGTAGGTTTTTGTATTTTGTATGGTCAGTTTGGCCATCTTGAATTGGGATGAGTCTAAAATTAAATCAGCTGTTTCATGCTCAGTAATTATTTTCTAAAAGTTCCATTAAAATCCATCTGATTTTTCATAGGTTGTTTTGCTAACAAATAGAGTTATGATAATGACGATTAAAGGCAGCTCTCAGAATGTGTTGGAGAGAAGTCTGACCTGTTAAAACAAATCTGAGCTCAGAATCTGTAAATTAATCGAGTTAAAGCCATTTTGTGTTCAGTAATTTGTCATGTTGATGGGTTGATTCTATCAGGTCTAGATGGATAATCAAAACTTACATTTAGTGTTTAACTCAAATCTGTCCTGCGAGTCACGAGTTGTGTTGTTAACGATACAAATCAACACACAGGCGTGAGCAAAAGCATTGTTGCTCAGTTTTCATCAGCAGGCAAAACAAGACAAACGACTTTAGAAAACAAAGTTGACTCAGTCATACCCCCAAACTAAGATTACTAACATTTTAAATGATGATCCGACACAAAAAGGCTCCATGTTGGAACCACAGCACGGATGAAGGATGTCACATCTCAACTTTCCCTGAATCCAGCAATAAACAAGTTATTCTTGACCAAAGCTATCCTGTGAGCCACGTCTCTTTCTTCAGGCAGCACAGATCAGTTGGTTTTACTGCATTCATCACTCCAGCCTTGTCGGTGCAGGTTTTCTATGCAGGATGAATCCATTTGTCTCCACTGATGGAAACTAATTGCAAAGCAAACAAATCATCTCTGCCACATTGAGCAGGCTTCTACTCATGGGGCACAGCAGCTACATGGCTGCAGGAAAGAAAAGACTGACTGTCACCGAAATTAACATGGAGGAAAAGGAAGCAGAGCAAGGAGAAGGATGGAAGGTTGGGAGCAAAATGATCAGACTTTTGTGTTATATCTGCAAAGTGTTAAAAAGCATTCTGTTAGACAAACTGTTGCTGTGGAATTGAAAGTGACTACTTCTGAGGAGATCGGAACAAAAGGGAATCAAAGTCCTGTGTGGAAACTCACTCCAAGAACATGAGGAGGCATCTGAGAATAGTACATTAGCATCAAGTTTTGGTGATCTATACAACCATAAAATGATTTTTAATTGAAAAATAGCAGCTTTTGTTTAAAGGAATATATTTCAGCAGATTTATCTGAGTGCCTGATTTACTTTGAACATGATATTTTAGATGGAAACGTGTCAAATAAACTGCCTTCCCTGTGAGGCCACAAAATACATTTGTCTTTTTTTTCCTGTTTGTAACATTATTTTATTTGTCTAAATAAATAAATAAATAAATAAATAAATAAATAAATAAATAAATAAATAAATAAATAAAGGCGTTAAATTTACGCTGATAGATAAGATGCTTTTTTAAGATACATGTTTAGTTATGGATTTTGACTGCAAAAACTTAAAACCTAGTTGGGTAAAAATTTAAATTTTACCTTCTTGCTGAATGTTATTAGTTATTCTCTATCGCCCTCTAGTGGTCAAAAAGTCAACTCATAGTTTGGAAGTTAGACCCCCCCGCCCCCCAAGGTTTTTGTGCAAAACAGAAAAATGCTAGAAGTGTCAGGTTGTTTATTTATGCTTTTTTATGCCTGTACAAAGAAAACAAAGCAAAAAATGATCTTGTTCACACAGATACGGTATATTTCCAATACATGTTTAAAATGTACTGAAGATGCTTTAGTGATCTGAAGGATTTTAAATGTGCCAGTTTTGCCTTAGAACTACAATAAAAAAGTTGATAATTATTTGATCAGATTTATATTGAAACAAAAATAGTGTCCAAATCAGTTCTAAATGAATACACAAAATGCAGCTGCCTTCATCTTTGAAAATCATAATCTGTTTGATTGTTTACATTTAATCTCAACTCTTATCAGATTTCTAGGATGAAAAATGATCCTATTAATAATGTTTTATTTCTCACTGATCCAGTGTTTCCTTAAAACAAGTTAGATGCAGCTGCTAAAGATGTGAGAGGGATACTGAGGTTCCTGTTTCCATCCTTCCAGGAAGCACCAATAATTCGTTTGGGTTTTGAGGTTTCGGCGTCACAGCTGCTGCCACACGGACGTGTCTAAAAGCAAAGATGCGACTGAATGTGGATCCATTCATCACTGCAGTCTCCTCGTGTGTTCTTTCATTTTCCAAAAAAAAAAAAAAAAAGCCGTTTATACGTTTCGCAGCAGCCAGTTAGGAGGAGAGAACCCAGACTGGGAGAAGTAGTTCCACCACCACGGCTTCTCCTCGCGCTCCACTTCCCCCTCAGCAACATCTGGATCGCCGTGGCGTTCAAACTGGTTGTAGGGGTCGAATCGCTCCCAGGTGTCCACCATGGGGAAGAGGTGGTCGTCGATATCCGGCTCCACGGGAAGCTGCATGCAGGAAGGGTGGGGAATGGAGAAGAAGAGTTTTCAACTAGTTTGATTTCTAATTTGCATGTTTTTTTTTAAAAAAACATTTAAGGTGGGACAAATAGATATTCAGATTTAATAAAATTCACACGTTATTCAAAAATACTGTACATCAGCAAGCTCTGGTCAGATTATTCCTTTTTTTGTTTCAGTTTAATTATCGCTTCATTCCAAATATTGGATCCAAACCTTTTGCAGGACAAAGTCGACCCGTCCAGCTTTGTTCATGTTGTGAGGCAGAGAAACTCTTTTACTGACTCTTGAGTAACCCTTAGCTGTAGCGGTCATGATGTGAGTGCCAGAATTCAACAGCCTCCAGTAATCTCCATCCTCAGCTGAAAGTAAGTTATAGAACATTTATTTTTTAATTTAGTTGATTTTGATTCCAAGTTACTGTAAAACAATAAAAGTGAGTACAATAAAACCTCTTACCAAATAAAATAACAATTTATGCACCCATATATTTGATTTTACCTGTGGTGACGTCTTTTCTAATCCCTCTCACAGAGACTGACGCTCCTTTTATCCCATTTCCATCGGAATCTTTGACGACACCTTTAATGCCTCGATGCACCTGTTCAGAGAAGGGAAGCACAAGCATCTCCTCACCACAAGGAAGTTTTGGCCTGGGCTGAGAAAATACACTGACTCTTCAAAACAAAGACATAAAACATTGCATTATTAGTTCATCCCCTTTTTAAATTATTTTCACGGATATTTAAATGTGAACACAGAAACTTACAGACTCCAGAAAACTGAGCAGAGCTTCTTTATTCCTCTTCCATTCTGGGTAAAGCTCGGCCTCGGAGGGGAATTTGTCGCAGCCGAGCTCCACTGTGATCTCCATGCAGTTTGTGTGCAGGTAATTAAAATCAGACATGCCTGCAGAGGGGGAAAGATGGGCACAATTAGAAAAAAATAAAAAAGCAGAAGTAACTATAAATAACTATATATAAATAAGAATCTCACCGCCAGCAAAACTGTACCACTGTGCCCCGTTGATGATGCCCCTCGTCCGGTAGAAGGAGGCGCCGCACCTCTCTGTGTCATTGTTGGACATGGTGGCGTGAGCATCAGCATAGGTACGAGCTAGCTGCTTGAACATCTGATAGAAGATAACTGTCAGGGTAAAAATTCTGTTCTACGTCTTTTTTTGATTTGACCCCAGCGAGCGGGGATCTGTTTATCTGTTAAAAACCTGTTCATCTGGAGTGGGTGAAAACATCCTCTCTTCATTTGGATGTTTGGAGAAGTCGAAGGGGTAGGAGACCACCAGCTCCCCTCCGTGGAGACTGGCGGACTGAACAAACGGCAGTGACCTGACCCACTTCATCACGGCGTAGGTCTCTGGTGCCACCTACAGCTCAAAGAAGGGATTGCATGGTTTTGGGGGTGGGGTCCAGGTTGGAGGACCGGAGTTGTAAGAAATCCAGCTCCCCTGTGAAAATCTGTCGCCCCTACTGGTTAACCTTATAGAGAATTACGGGTCCAGCCCTCCCAACACAGGGGGAACAGATTTTCACAGGGGAACTGAATTTCGTACAACACCGGTCCCTGCAGACAAACTTAAATTTTCCTACCTTGCCAAACCAGTAAGCATCAGGGATCGGGATGTGATCGGTGCGGAAGTGCCTGCTTCGACGGCTCCGATACAGAATGGACGTCAGATCTGGAAAGTTGCGGTTCAGGTCGATATTCTGGGCGTTGGTCCGACCATTAGTCCAGCCATTTAACAAGTGACCCTAAAACATTTCAGTAGATTTCAAACTGTGAAATTAGTCAAAAAGCAAAAGAAAATGGTAATAATAATGATGTAAACATTAGTAGGAGCAGGAATTTGGATAAATTGTATTAGTCAGAAAGAAGTCCGACTATTTTTGTTAATTCACTTGTTAACACACAGACAAGACCATATATCCGTTATAATAAAAAAAACTAAATAGAAGTTGAAGCTATTTTCTTCTTAACATTCAAACTGGGAAGTTTGTTTTTACTCAATCAGTGGAAAAAGAGAATCTGGTGCATCGTTGCAATTCTTTACAGGCATTAACAATAATCTAAAAAGTCTTAAAGCTCCACTCATTTTTATATTTTGCTTTTTCAAATGTACATTTTGAAAGCAAACTATAAAAACATGAGGTATAGCATATGCACATATGCTCTGATGTTCATGCACCCATATAGAAACTGTTTGGTTTCCTATATGTTTGACTTTAGGTATAAGATTGCCTACAGCATTACTCTAATAAATACATCCAATACATGCAAAAAAAGTACAATCAGAAAAGTTTTACTTACATAAATTAATGTAATAACTTCACTTAATTTAAAAATTTCAAGCATGTGTGCATTTTGACACCTAATTTGTGTAAAATGGCCAAATAAGAAAAATTATTTTCTTTTCACTCTTATTTGTTGCGAGTCCAAGAACAAAAACACATTTTCACACACACAGCATCACGTTCATGCAGAGGTTCCTGGAGGGACAGTGAGGTTTAGAAGATGATATAAAATAGTGTTTAGGTTATTCAGAGTTACGTTTGAAACATGCCAGAGTTAAAGAGTTACTGTGGAAGAGTTGAGACAGAAAACATGCAGATTTCCCACCTCCAGCTAAAGTGTTCAACCCACTCTCAGTTTATCTTGACGTTACTAACTGGTTGATCACTTCATCTGAAAGTAGGAGGATCTCTTCTAGACAGCAGGACCGTGAGGTGGGAGGTAGAAACTTGCGAACTCTGATTGCTTCCATGAAAATACTGAAAGTTGCTTCATTTCACAACCCAGAGTTTGGAAAGCATCTCTGCCGCAGCAGATTCAGCAGAGTAGCCCACCTTCCACCTCCACAGCTGAAGCCAACAGTGGACTGACAGCGGATAATGGAGGTTTGTCTTTGTTTCTGTTAACAATATTTACTTCCTGGTTGTTGAGCTCCGGGTCATTGCTATCTTCTACCTCTGAAGCGGCCAGCTCGTAGCCGTCGGGGTTCATGGAGGCCAGGATGTGGATGCGAGTGGTGTTGATGATGGTCTGAATTCTCTGGTTTCCCAGAAGGTACTCGGAACACAGGTACTGGGCCAAGTAGATGAGCAGCTGACGGCCCAGCACCTCGTTCCCGTGCATGTTGCCCACCAACTTGATCTCCGGCTCGACTACGGTGGAGGGACAGAAAGCAGCTGGGTTAAAGTCGCAGAGGAACATCGGCATGCCTCAACATTCCAGAAACACGTCCGGCAGATAAGAACCGAGCTTTGACAGGTTGTTAAGCGATGGACCTCTTTTGCATATGACTAACCTGTTTGTCCATGTGGAGTCAGTGCTTTTAAGGCTAAGTTTCACCTGAAACTCATCAGACTGAAGAAGTCTCTTGGATGAGAGACAAAACGTTTCACTACAGAAGAACCCATCCAGAGGACCTACTTATTTTTTTCTTTTTGATTTTTTCTACCTGGATTACTGAGATGCATCAGGACAACCGAGCTTTAGTTTCATGTTTGTTCTGTTTGCAGCCGAACACAGAGAAGCTGCAACATGTTCAGAGTGGTTGGGATCGCCCACTGTTATTTACATGAAAACTACTATTTAAGGCAGTTAAGCTGAGTATATGTTTGCTCCATGTTATCCCCCCTCCTCTCACTCACGTAGCTCGTGCTGTCCCGGGTTGTCGGTGAACTCGATCACCAGCAGGTCTCGGCCCTCGGTGCTGCGTCCGATGCTGTAAACGTGAGAAATGTGGGAGCACTTGGCTGCGGTCCGTTTCAGTAAGCTGTACATCTGTGCGTTGGAGGTGTAGGTGAACTGGATGATGGTGCTGGGCTCCTCAGGAGACAGGCTGGACAGGGCTAGCTCCTGCCTGGCTGGAAGGGAGGGACAGCAGACATTCAGGAAGGATAATTTTTTTAAAATGCTGTGGTGTTTTCACCTCAGTTTCGGTGAACATGAACCAACGCAGCCGTCTGAGGTTTACCTCTCAGCCTGGCCAGAGGGTCGAAGCAGCCTTCTTCTTCGCTGGCAAAGAAGCGGTCGCAGTCCAGGAAGTAAGGCCAGGCCATGTCGATGGCCTCGAAGGCGTGGCTGCAGTCCTTCCTCAGCGCCTCGCAGGAGCTGCGGCATGGTTTCACCACCTTGTCCTCCCGGCAGGGCGGGGCCAGAACGGAGCAGCCAACAAGGCGGATCTCAGGGGAGCACTCACCGTTGAGAAGACCATGAATGACGCTCAAGAGGAGGTACTCTGCCCCCGACTCCGCCTCAAAACGACTCCGGTGCCCAAGGATGTTTGGGAATATGGTTCTGTGCATAAAGTGTATAAAATGTTCAAATGACAGGGTTTAAAGAAACTTTAATCCTCACCTTCAGCTTTTAAATCCGTCGACCCACCTTGAGTAATCCATTTCATTACAGTAGCCGAGGTTCATCTCTGTGCAGGCAGCTGTTGGAAAAATGTACAGATAAAAACAAGAGTCTGCAATCCTTCATAGAATACTGAGCCTATGTGATGTAACATTTAAGGCAACGAGGGTTGCAACATGTAATCAATAAAAATTGATTATTAAAAGTGTTGGCAACAAATGCCATTATTGATCTATGATGGTATTAATGTAATGATTAAGCTTTAAGTTTTAATTTGCTGACAGTGTCTGAGTGAAGACAATTGCCTTACTTACTTGTCTTAACCTAATACTGCAAATAAAACAAGGCATTCATTGAATTATTGTAATAAGCAGCTGTCTTGACTAAAAGTCTTCTTAACATTTTCGTCACTGACATGAGACTGTTTATGGTCAAACATAACGACTTCACTATTTCACACTTTTATTTCAGGTTACACTCTTCCCTCAAGGACACATTTTACAAAACTCATGGAGAAACAAATGTTAAGAGACTTTTGAGGATATAGCACACATTTGTGTAGATTTTTGTGTACAATGATTTTTTACTGAAGCTATTTGACAAACGTTTACTTATTTGTGCATTATAATTGAATATTATAACCTTTGTGTGATTTGCTATGTCAGTCCATTTTTTTATTTTAGAAGAGGTCAAAATTAAAAAAAATGTTATTTTTTGTTTGTTTTCCAATTTATTGATTAATCAAAAAATATAGTTGAATGATTAATCGAACATTATAATAATCATGAGTTGCAGCCCTACAGGCAATAATAAATGTGATTTTGTTTCTTGGTTTCATCTAAAGCATATCTGAGCTGATCAGCAGAGTTTAAGCTCATGGAAAATTAAACTGTTCCATCTTTCTGTCAGAAAAGTCAGAATGCAGTTCCATTTCTAAGTAAGTCCCTGTAAAGTTTGAAAATATAAGATCCTTTAAACCTAAAAAAAATGAAGTAAATGACCACCTACGTGTTTCTTCTTGTGTGGTGCTGCTGCAACTTCCTGTGGAAGAAAATAACCCAAACATAAAAAGTTCACAAATTAAACGCTAGGGAGAGACATTTTAAAAACATGACAAAGCAGGATGAACTGTGAGTAAATGACACGACTGATGCGGTTTACAGAACGACTGACTGTTTATGCCAACTTAAGTTTCAGTAAAGCAAAACTTCTTTGCAGAATCCAGCTTCATACAATCAGCAACTAAAGATGCAAAGTACAAAGAAAGTCCAAACAATAAGATTTAATTGGTTATAATATTTTGTGTGCAAATGAGAAAGTGGATGATAATAAACAGCTATCCTTGAAGACTTTTCCTGACCTCCCAGTGGTTTTTTTCCCAGCTCCTCCTCCATGTATTCTGCAGTAAGCAAACATGCGCAAATCTCACCTAAAAACTCGTCTCCAGGCTCACATCTCTGCGGGACGCTCCAACAAGTTCTCATGAAGAAAAGCAGCAGCGCCCAAACTTCCAGATGCTTGTGATAAGCACGCATGATGCGGTGAGCTGCGTGTGTGTGATGTGGCAGTGTGTGTGAATGTGTGTAGCTACTTTTCCGTCTTCCCTGCTCCTTGGTAGCTAATTACCACCCGCTGCACAGAAAACTCCCAACTTCCTTTGTCTGCTGCGCCGAGCATCCCTGACCCGGGGATTATGGCTGACTGCTGCACAGATCATATTTCAGTGTGTGTGTGTGTGTGTGTGGGGGGGGGGGGGGGGTAACTTATGCGTGCACATGGAAAAAACGTGGCTTGTAGATGGTTGGGTGGTTGGAAGTGGAGGGATTTATAACCACACATCACAGAGCTGCTCATTTCTTGCACTTTGTTGAAATGTCTTGATTTGAACAAAGAAATGATTTTGTGCATTTATAATGTGTTCAGGCTGAGGAATCTTCCAGCAACAACAAAAACAGCATATTATGAATCACCTATCTTTATGATTCAGATGATTCATATCTTTTTTTTTATTGTTGGGCTGTTTTATTTGGTTTTGTCTTCTTTTTTATCCCGTCGACTGCTGCTGTCTTTTAATTTATTTCTTCTGTACAACACGTTTGGTCCCAGATTTGATCAAAATAACGTCAAACAGTGTGTATTTGTGGTTGTAGCATATATTTAACGTGTTCTTGTGATATAACATCTTCAGACATCCTCATTTGCATTTTGTTTTTACATTCCATTGGCACTTATTAACACAAGCATTAATATTAGCTGTGACATTAGTCCAGGCTGTTACTGACAATGACAAATCCACCGTCACGACACTTCAGATATACACCTAACACAGCAGTGAAAATGATGCTGTGCTTTCCATGTTTGGTAATCTCCTCAGCAGCAGGTAGAACCTGTCGAAACACGAGTTCACGAGTCTGAGAAAGTCCTTTGGTCCACATGTACCGTTCCTGCAACTCAAACACTGCCTTATCGAAGCCCTGCGTGGGCTTCAGTGACTTCGTCCTCATCTGTCAGCCCCCAGTGCTAACCCTGACCTTTCACCTTCCTGACAAGAGATGGAAGGACCAACATGTTTACAACAAAACAAAAAAACACCCCCTCAAATCCACAGGCTCAAGTTTTCCTCGCAGGACAGTTCTCGTCTGCAGTGTCACACATGCTGCTTGTGCTGTGGAGAGACAGGAAGTACCGATCCTTTCTCACAACCCGGCTGATGACGCTCACCAGAACCTTCCTGTACTGGTGCCGCAGGAGGCAGTAGACAAACGGGTCACTAGAGGCCTTGGCATAGATCAGGCATTTGGTGGCGATGCCCCAGTATCGAGGAATGTGCACAGAGGGCAGCAGTTCCACCAATCTGCAGGAAGAAGGAAAAACAGACTTAAAGGAAACAAACAGATCCTTTCTTTAAGGTTCTTCCTGAGGTTTTTCTGTAGTGATACTTTGTTGAAAGGTGACTAAACTGTTTTCCGTTAAAAGAGTTAGAGTTGTAAGTTTTACAAAAGATGAAATGACCCGACATTAAAGCCACGTTGCAGGATGTTACCTCGTTATAACATACGGTGAAAAACAGAGGATGAAGGAACCGATGAAGATGCAGATCTTTTTAGCAGCTCGCTGCCGTCTCTTCTTCTGTTGGGCTAAACACCTCTCCTTCACACTGAAACACAGACACACAGAGACAGATTAGTACAAACGCGATCTGTGTGGGATTACATCAGTGTATGTTGAGGTGCTTTCTGTTTGGGTTCAATTCAAGAGACTCATTATTTCCTAAATCTGGTTATTATGGCTTTATTCTTTATTTGTTTTTTGTTACAGAGCAGCATGGTTAGAGGTTCTTTTCATTAGCTGAAATCTGTGTGATTCTGGAGAAGGCACACAAACTGAAAAACTAGAGTTTTTTTATCCAGAAGTCTGAGTGAAGGGCCTGTAGGTGCCCCCAGTATTAATGATGTCCAAGAAAAATACATATAACTGATCTGTTTTTTTAACTTTTTATTCATGAAAGAACTGTGAAATGTAATTTTTAACCTTACCAAAGCTTATTGGATTTTTACAAAAAAAGGGCCACATGGAAAAAAATCTGACTTTAATCTCAAAATTATGACCTTTTTTCCCCCTCAGAATTAGAAAAAAAAAAACTTAGTTTCCTGACTCTTTTCTCAAAATTTTGAGATGAAGTCAAAAACTTTTTCCAATCCTTTTTCTATAAGCACCAAATATCAGCTGATGTACATGCTTTAGAAACTCAGTGCTGATGCAGCATCAAACTCAATCTGTTGACTGAATACGGATTATATCTAATTAATAATCTGTTGTTATCCTGCACATTAAATAAAACAGAACTTTAATTAAACTTGTGTGAAGGTTTCATGGCAATATTTGAGAACAACTGAGCTGAAAATCAATGTTGTAACAACTTTCACTTTCAGAGTAAAAATCTGAATTACTTTGAAAAACAGGATCAACATACAAATAAACTTGGTTCCACTTTGCATAATTTTTACAAGTCGTGGTCCAATCACTTTCAGCCACGCCCACCTGGAAACTTTTTCCCACTGATTTTGGAGTCTCTGGATTTTACGCACAGATTTGTGACATTTCCCGCCCAGCATACTGTACCTGGGGTGGATATCCACCAGGAGCAGCAGGGCCTGCACTGTGATGACATCGATCCTCTTGCAGTGGGACCTGGCCACCCTCAGAACCTTCAGGTAGGCGAAGCAGAGGACGAGGAGGCAGAGCGCGAAGCTGCTGCAGTGGAACAGCACCGTGAAGGTCGCGAAGGCGCACAGCTGGGACGAGTCGTCCGAGTCCAGGTGGACTGTGCAGGAGGCGTACGCGTGGCTGTATCCCCCCCAGTCCATCATCAGCTGGGTCAGAGAAAAAGTGAGGGACTGCAGCCAGGAGTAGGCCACGATCAGGAAGGCGTCCCTGTAGCGCATCTTGCTGGAATACCTGAGAGGAAACATCACCGCCACCCACCTGTCCACGCTGAGCGCGGCCATGCTCAGCATGGCGTTGGAGGTGATGAAAGTCTCAGAGAAACTCACGGCGCGGCAGAGCAGGTCCCCAAAGGGCTTCGCGCCCGCGGCCACTCCGAGGAAAGTGGCAGGCATGTTGACGAGGGCGAGGAGGATGTTGGAGAAGGACAGGTTCAGGACGAAGATCCCCGGCACGTGAGCCCTCAGCTCTGCGCTCTGAGTGAAACATAGCAGCACCGACAAGTTGGTCAAACACGAGACGACGGCTGAAACCAGGACGGACACCTCCAGCAGGAAGTCCGTGATGCTCATGTCTCCAGGTTCGGAGTCAGCGGCGCCGGTGGGGAGGATGCTGTGGAGGCTCCGCCATGCTCTCCGGTCCTGCCCGCCACCAGCTGACACTGACGCCTCTTGCCACATGCCAGACACGCGCGTGCGCGCCGCTGAGCACGCAGAGACACGCGTAGAGCTGTCCAGTGCTGAAATGTCCAAACAAGGCTTTCCTGTCACCTAAAGTCCGAATCCTCTCAACTGGACCGCTTCAGTGTTTAAATCCTCACTCATTAGAGCTGTTTACCTCCAAGTGAAAACCTGCTAAATGACACCAAATGATCTTTGTGTTTGTTTATTCCCGCTCATGCGCACTATGCTGCGCCTCCTCGAACTCTGTGAGTACCGTGCGCCTCGCACGTGCAGCTGGCGGATGCCTCGTGTGGCGCTTGAACAATGTTCACAGAAGCAGGAGAGACACGGGAGAAGCGGTGTCATGTTGTTTGCACACAACTTGCAGTATGATTTTAAAAAGAGGACTTGTGTGAAGGCTGCAGACATGCTGGGTAAAAATTACAATTATTTAAAATACTAATAATCATGTTGCAACGTCAAAGGCTGAAGGTTTACATATGAAAACATCCAGCTTTAATCACCACACACACACACACACACACACACACACACACACACACACACACACACACACACACACACTGTGTGTGTGTGGGGACACAGCATCTCCAAGGCAACACCACATCTCTGATGTTTGGTTTTCATCTTACACAGCACCAATTAAACACAAAATCAGAAAGAAGTTGTGTTTTAGATGTCATGGGGTGAAAGTGAAGCTCACAGTGAATAATCGATGGTCAGACTCAACATTTTTCTTCCAGAGTCTCTGGCATATTTATATCATTTTTATAACACTGTTAATGGCACCACTAATGGACTTATTATTTGGCACAGACACAAAAGCATCATTTATTTAATAAGCTGAAAATATCCAGTTGCTTCAGACAATTTTTATTTAATTTGTTTTGTGTGGATATGGGTTTTGTTATAGTTCTTAGTGTCATTGGTGTCTTGCTTTTTTTCCCCCTTATTTTTGAATGTATGTTTTTAACATAGAGCCCTGTCACCTTTGGGACAGACAATAAAATCTATCCATCTATCCATTTATCCATCCATCCATCCATCCATCCATCTATCCATCCATCCATCCATCATCAGTCCACCCACCCACCCATCCATCCATCTATCCATCCATCCATCCATCCATCCATCCATCCATCCATCCATCCATCCATCCATCCATCCATCCATCCATCTATCATTTTAAAGACAGGTTGTCCTGAGCCATATAAAAACAGCACAAACAATTTAGTAGTCTTTATAGATAGATAGATAGATAGATAGATAGATAGATAGATAGATAGATAGATAGATAGATNTAGATAGATAGATAGATAGATAGATAGATAGATAGATAGATAGATAGATAGATAGATAGATAGATAGATAGATAGATAGATAGATAGATATGGAAGCTTGAGCCACTTGATTGATTTTCTGGAAACTAATATGGTTGAATCAGACAAGCACAGAATCTCAGAAACGGTGTTTAAGTGGGAAAGAATGAGTGACTCTGCTGAACATAGAAAAGAAAATGATTACTAGGGGTGCACCAATAAACTGACCAGGTAGTTTATCGGCACCAATTTCCTTAATTTTGGGAGATCAGAGATCAGCTTCTCATCTACCTCCACAAAGGTCTGAAAATCAGCCACTGTCCCCTTTTGAGCTACTGTGAGAACTACCTCATGTTCAGTTAAAACAAATTTGTATTGTTCCGGGTTTTTCCAATAAAATAAGACTGGCACATTGAAGGTAAATTGTGACTTTGACATTTAATAGTGTCAGCTGTTTAAAAAAATCTGTATCAGCCAAAACAGGAATGGGCAGGTCAGACTTTTTAAAGATCGGTGATCAGCCAGAAAACTGCAATCGGAGCACCCCTACTCATTCCAAAATTAAAAAGGCACTTAGAAAAAGAACTGAAAGGGAACACGAGGGAAGAAAAAATGAGATCGGCTTGGAAAGAGTGAACACAGAGGGAGGAGAAGAGCAGACAGAATTTAAAGGCTGAAGCTAAAGGGAAATGAGACACACCTGGGAAGAGACAACAAGAATCAGGTGTGGGAGGAGCTGGGGAAACTACACTGTCACAGGGAGCAAATAGACAAGGCCCAGAAAGAAAAATTAAAGAATAAACGAAAACAAAAAAACAAATAAACAGTTCCTCACAAAAACAACCATCAAGAATAGATGTTGAGGATCAAGCAGGACAGTGGAAGCTGGCCTGTTTCACTTCACTTGTTTTTGTAAGTAAACAAACACACACACAGCTGATATTTATTCACAATTTACACCTTTTTAATATAAATATACATTTACCATCAATATGAAAGAAATACTGTGTAGACTACCTTTATGTTTTTAATCGGTCTAAATGATTTTACAGTCCTTAAACCTTTGATAATTTGTTCCACAAATAAAATCTAACTTCTAGCTGTAAAGTCACCCATCATGTCACATAATTGTTTTCCAGGCAGTTGGACTGATTCCTTTTCATTCAGACTAATTCAAAGGTGTGTTTTCTGCAAGCAGTGTTCTTGTGGGCAGCTTAGCCTGTAAACACCATATGATGATGGTAAACTGTATTTCTTATTTTCATGGTGTCTCACATGTTGTTCATCCCCGCTGTCTCTAAAACGCTCAATCATTAGGAGCTTCCTCAACATTCGCAGTCTGTTACCTGCAATGCATTACCATCATTTTATTTATTTATTTATTTATTTATTTATTTATTTATTTATTTATTTATTTATTTATTTTCATCCTCAGTGGAGTTGTCAGTGAGCGTTTTAATTTAAGGAAACCCCATTTTGTTGCTCGAAAGTGAAAGACTTAAAGAGGAAGGAGGAGAATGAGCGATGATGGATGAGGTGATCCCAGTTATCACGTTGCCTCCTGGTTCTCCAGGCAGGAGACTCCGTTATGCAAGCAGCAGAATAAAGCTTTGATGGCAGGGACACTTAAGAATTCCTGTTAGCAGAGGAGAGGTCCATCCCTCTCCTCTGAGCCACTGCCCCTGCTGGATGAGTACTGTATGCATGAGTACCGTTACATAACAACAGCTCCTGCAGTCAGTCATCTGTCATCATTTTTCTTACTTACACCCTAACTTTAGTCGGTGTTTAAACCATAACTAAGTTCCTTGAAGGAGGATTGTGTCTATTTTAAAGCAGAATCCAGCCTGGATCAAAGGCTATAGAGACTAAAACATGAGAACTGACTCTTTTTGGCAGCTGTGACCCTGATCTGTCCACTTTATTAGGTTCAGTTCTTGATAACTTCAGAGTGGGACGTTTGGTGAAGGTGTTGGTAGCATGGCCCCTGCATTAACACAACTGTGAGGAAGAAGACAGAACGGAACAGAAACTCACGCTTGTGTTTCTGGAGCCCGGGGACGTCTGGGTGTGAAAGGTCTTGGTGCTTCGAGCCGCGGAGCAAACGCTTTTGGACGGGAAACTCTAACTCGCACAGACACTCACATGTTCAGAAAACACTCAAAGTCCTCCACGCTCGCTGTCGCTGTCCCTTTCCCACCCTGCCTCTGCTGTTTACTTCGCTCTGAGTCACAGAGCAGCAGTATGGGAGCCTGACGGGGGAGTGAAAACATCCCACAGGAGAGAAAACACTTCCTAATGAGCTGATGATCTCAGATCTTTGACACTTGTTTTATTTGTAGTTATTGAAGTCTACACGGAATCGAAGAGTTTCTAGATTTTTGTGGTTTTTCTTTGATTTGTAACACAACAAAATCACCAACACTAACTGATGCTGGAGTTCAGATTAGATATATCTAATCCTCCTGCTATGTTGCAGCCCGGCTGTCAAGATGGAGTAAAAAGGGTCAAAAGTGTCCATTATTATTTGTTTTTTGTGCAACTGTGACACATATTTCACCTCAAACACATATACACAGAGATGCACACTTTCTCCATATTATCTTTACTTAACTAGTAAACTGTGAGAATGCAGGTATTTATACAACTTTTAATGAGAACCTTTTTCATTCTCATAAACTCCCCCCCCCACATTGAGTGGACGCTCAGCAGGGGTTGGGGGGGCATGAGTATTCTCTACAAGGGAGTCCTAAACATATTACACACTGCAAATCTATGTGGTGTACACTTTATTGCCAAAGGTATTGTCTCACCTGCCTTGACTCACATATGAGCTTAAGTGTCATCCCATTCCTAATCCATAGAGTTCAACGTGACATTGGTCCACCCATTGCAGCTAGAACAGCTTCAACTCTTCAGGGAAGGCTGTCCACGAGGTTTAGGAGTGTGTTTATGGGGATTTTTGATGATTTTTCCAAAATAATATTTGTGAGGTCACATACTGATGTTGGCCAGAAGGCCTGGCTCTCAGTCTCTGCTCTAATTCAAAGGTGTCCTGTCAGGTTGAGGTCAGGGCTCAGGCACCAGAGTCTGCCATCCATGTCTTTATGGACTGTTACTTTGTGCCTTTTCCGGGTCCGGGAGGAGATTCTATCCCAGGTGGAGGATTTTAAGTATCTCTGGGTCTTGTTTACAAATGAGGGAAGAATGGAGCGGGAGATCGACAGGTGGATTGGTGCTGCATCTGCAGTGATGTGGGCGCTGCACCGGTCTGCTGTGGTGAAGCGGGAGCTGAGCCAGAAGGCGAAGCTCTACATTTCTACCATCCCATATGGTCACAAGTAAGAATGAGATGGTGGATACAAGGTGCCAAAATGAGTTTCCTCTGCAGGGTGTCTGGGCTCTCCCTTAGAGATACGATATGAAGCTCAGTCATCCAGGAGGGACTCAGAGTAGAGCCGCTGCTCCTCCACGTCGAGAGGAGCCAGTTGAGGTGGTTCATCTGGTTAGGGTGCCTCCTGGACTCCTCCCTGGTGAGGTGTTCTGGACACGTCCCACTGGGAGGAGACCCAGAGGAAGACCCAGGACACGCTGGAGGGACTATGTTTCTCAGCTGGCCTGGGAACACCTTGGGATTCCCCCAGAGGAGCTGGTCCAAGTGGCTGGGGAGAAGGATGTCTGTGTCTCTCTGCTGAGGCTGCTGCCCAGAGACCTGACCCTGGATAAGAGGAAGAAAACGGACAGAACGGACAGGCTTTGTGTACTGGTGCAGTCATTTGGATGGGTGAGCAACTACTTTTGGCAATGGAGTGTAGTTACTGTCAGAGCTCAGAAAATGAGCAGCAGAAATAAAATGATGACAGCCCTGGAAGCACTGGTACTTCTCTTCGATCATGACCGTGAAATAGATGATGTGTTTTAACCATTCATGTAAAACATGGTTATATACAGTAGTCTTCATCATCAAGTAAAGAACTGAGAAAACTGTGTGAAGAAAATATAATAAAGACAGTGCCAGGGCCTACTAACTTGTGTCACAGAGATCAAGCCAGTCTTTGATAATCATGCCCAGTTCAGTACAGATAATCGTTCTTGAAGAGACTAATCTAGAATGAAGCTGTGTTTTGTGGGGAGGAATGGAGGAGGAAGGTCCTCATCCTGGCTGGGGTCTACAAGTCAAAGGATGAATTAATCAAGTAAACAAGTTATCTATGACATGCAGAGACAGGCAGGGATATATTTCATGCTACAGTGTCTCTGGAGACTCTGTATATTTTCTCCTGAGTAATCCAGTTTGATAATTCAGACAAGAGCTGTCAGACAGGAAACAGACAAACTGCCAGATATTGGGACAATGTGGCACAACTGGGTTGAGCAACTTCCACTGCTTTAAGCCCTAATGTCACAGAGGTGAAGAGCTCATTTAGGCAATAAAGTTTATTTTTCAATACAAATCTTCATGACTCATTTGTCTTATTTTTTTAGCTAACGGGTCGATTTGACCCTGAACAGAAGAGGTGTCTCAAGTACAACTGTAAACATCCCTTCTAGAAAAAATGATCGTTGTTTTTTAATGTACGGTAATTTTTTTTCAGTGGCCATAAAAAATGTAACGTGTTTTTTTAAGGACAAACAAGTGAACTCTCATTGATTCTTTATCTGTGAGAAATAAAAAAAACATCAATGCACAAATATTGACTGAAATGGTCATGGAGTTA